GGCTCGGCACCTGTCCTGGTAACAGCACGCTGGTCATGAGCTCTCAGCCAGGTTGGCACCAGCAACACCCTGGGCTGTTTTTCATGCTGCTAATGATGGCTGTGTGTGCATCACCGAGACCTGAGCTGGCCCCAGCGCTCTGGCTTCTTCCCTGCCTGCCCCAGATGCTGGCCGCATCCTTCCAGGGCCATTGTCTCACAAACACCCCCGTTCGCATTTAAGTTCATCCCATGTGCCGGGCCCTGTTCGAGGGGCTTTACCAGCACACACTCCGACCACAGGGACTGTTGCCAGACACCGCCTGGTTGATTTTGACTCATGGTGATCCCAAGTGACAGCAGAACTGTCTCAGAGGGCCTCCTAGGCCCTGGTGGTGCAGTGAGTGGTTAAGGGCTTGGCCATTAAGTTTGATGGTTTGAACCCACCCACTGCTCTGTGAGAGAAAGATGAGCAGTCTGGTTCTGGGTTTTGGAAACCCAGCGGAGGTTGCTGTGAGTCGGAGTTGACTCGATGATGATAGATTTGGTTTGATACACGATTATTATTTTCTATCAGGAATTTGAGCATCCTCAGATTGGAACCAGTCATCTGTGGATACTGAGGGACAACTGAACTCTGTCATCCCTGTTTTATGGATAAGCAAACTGAACACAGGGAGTTAGATGACTTATCCAGGGTCACATAGGCAGGAAGTAGCAGAGCAGGGATTTGAACCTGGGAAGTCATCTTTCGAGAGTTTCCACACTCTCAGCCCTTGCTCTCAGTGCCGCTGCTTCCCTGGCCTCCCTGCAGGACTGTGGGGGAAGCCTTGGTCGCCCCTTCTGTAACTTGGGGGCAGCAATCTTGGTTGGGTGTGGGCTCCTCAGCCCTTCCGCTGATCTGTTTCCACAGCCTGTACAATAACTGCATCTGCGACGCGGGAGCCAAGAGCCTGGCCCACGTGCTTCCTGACATGGTGTCCCTCCGGGTGCTGGAGTGAGTAGGGCAGTAGGAGCAGGGCCCAGGGTCTGGGGAGGCCAGGGGTCCCCACTGGGCTGGGGCCCAGTTGTCGTGTGCAGGGGTGTTGGCCTCCGTCTAGGGCTGTATGGTTCCCAGGGCCGGCCCAGGCCCAGGCCCAGGCCCAGGCTGCCTTTCTCTCCCCAGCGTCCAGTACAACAAGTTCACGGCTGTCGGTGCCCAGCAGCTCACCGCCAGCCTGAAGAAGTGCCCCCACGTGGAAACACTGGCGTAAGTCTTGGGAGCCCCGGTGCGTGGAGAGCCACCCTGTCTCCAGGCATGCAGGTCAATGTGTGGCCTTGAGCTCCGACCCTGCTGTCCTCACCAGCAGGGTCACCCTGGGCAAGCAGGCCCTTCACCTCGCCAGCCTCAGTTTCTTCATCTGTAAAACAGGATGATTATAACGTCCATCCCAAAGCAGCTCTGTGAGGTTTAAACTATCAGGAATATTCAATACATGCAAGATTAGGTTGAACCAGCTGAAATTGCCGGTATCCAGTTCTTTTGACCTATGACCCTGGCAGTTTTTCGTGGTTCTAACACTGACTGTTACTGTTACTATCGTTGAGTCCTTGTGACGGCT